TGAATCATATTATTATTAAGAACTAAATATAAAATTACACTAAATTATTGAACTTAAAACTACAAATTTAAATACAAAAGAATATAAAAAATCACAAACTCTTTCAGTTCAAAGTGCTAAGCCTAATTCATGTAAAGACCTTGCACTCACCACTCGATAGTTCTTAACCCTAACAATCGTGGATCAACTTCTTTCCTAAAAATTTTTATTTTTAGTTAATTTTTCAATATAATGACTAATATAAATAGATATACGATGCAGCATGACTTAAGTTACTAAAGTTACAATATGCTGATTACAACACCTTAAAAAGATCAGCAGACTATATCCTTTTAACCACTACCTATTTACATTCTAAGTAGTTTAGATAGTTCTCACCAAATTTTGTTCCAAAACTAAAACTAGTATATGAAATTGTTTGTAATTTTACAGAAACATTCTTAAAGGCAAGTAGTTTCAGAAAAATAAAATATTTAATTTTGATTTTAGTTTTTATGTATTACCAGCTTTGAAATCTTGGGAACTTACATAAAGAAATGGTTCTTATAAGAAATAATTAATGTATTTACATTTGGTCCAGATTTGAACTTCTTATTTTTTATATTTTAGTATATTATTCAAAAGATCTCAAAAAATATTTTATCATTCCATAATTTTTTTATAAATTATGCAGTTCTTATCAAAAGTAAGATTTTCAAGATTTGCAAGAAGTGGCCAGTGCCATACCTTACTATAGCATCTAGCTAAAGTGTCAATTTTTATAATAAGAATCACCCACTTTCCTATTTTAAAATATACAAGACAATATTTTGTAGCATGTTTTGCTTATCATCCTATGATTTGCTATATGAGAGATACAGTGCACTGAATGAGATGGTAATGAAATTGACACATTACAACTAGGATTGGTTAAAATTTTTAAAGTCAGTTTGAACACACCCTGATGCCATTTTATGAAAAAAAATACTAAAAAAAGGTTTAAATACTGATCATAGATGGCAGACAATTAAAAAAAAAACATATTTTGAAAGAAAATGTTTTATACTTAGAGGATGCTTAATTATAGCCTGAAACATATTTTGGATTTTTTTTGTTAAATTTCCGTTTAATTTCATTAAATAAGACAATTTATTAGAAACAATTTAATATTACAGTGTAGTTTAAAAAAGAAATCTGAAACACAAGTTCAAGTAAGTGCTCTATAATTGTGTTTCAATTCACTGGCGCAATTTTGCCCTTGGGGCAAGACAAAATGGACATGATATACTTATCAGGAAAGTTGTCAGAAGCAAATCCAATAGATATAAATTCGTTTTTGGAAAGGCTTTATTTAACTTTGACACTGTTAGATCCTAAAACTACACTAAGGTATGGATAAATTTCAGTTTATGCCTTTGTTGAAGAGAAAGACTTATTTCAAAAAAGATGCCTGTTTTCTACTGTATAGAGGTTTAATGTGATTCATACTTTGAAATTAAATTCTAATATTTTGTTGCTTTTCTGAATTTGTAGTGCATACTGGAAAGATTTACACATTTTGGAAATAAAATCAGAAAACAAAATTACCTTTACTCTGCAGATAATAGAGATTTTCTTTATATATGTTTGAGTGTAAAACCCTAAGCATATCTGATATGAAAATTACATTCAAAGCACCACAAAGTTTGAACTACCTTCCCCCTGGTTCTTGGTTGGTAGAACTTTCACAGCTTTAAGGCTGCTCTTCATCCAACAGCTCTTCTTATAATATTGATTTAAAGGAAGCAATTCAAAGTTTTGCAGTCTTTTATATTAAATTGTAATCCTGTGTGTATCTGTGTATATGTAGTAACAGCTGTATATACGTATTAGTTTTATAGCAAATGAAATTACAGAAATTAGAAACCTTAAAGGCAAAAAACAACTTAAAATTGGGTCACATTTCATGGTATTAATTGTTACTTTTGGGAATGTGAAAATCAAATTGATCAGTGTGTTCTGGGCCATTAGCAAATATATGACATGCAAGCCAAAATTCTTAACTCTTTATATACTGAAAGATCTTGCTTTAGATCCAGAAGGCGTTTCAGAATCAAGGAACCAATAAAAGATAAAATTAAACAAGTTAATCTTATGTTCATAGGTGGAGGTCAAAATGCACACCTATGACATTTTATAGAATACTATTCAATGTGGTATTACGTATTTGATAACCTAATTATCAACTATTCATTTTACCCTACATTGCCGACTTAGTGACAGTCTGTAGTAGTGGAGAGTAAATACCAGATACAATATACATGAATACTGAAAAAAACTGTATACATGCATTTAGAAGATTCTAAAGGTTATGCAAGTACAATATGCAAACTGAATAATTGACAAAAGTATGTTTATTCTTCACATGGACATCACCTTGCACTCTGACTTGTCAGAGTTTCAGTCACATTGACACTGTCAATTCACACACATACCTTGAGTACAAATACTTTTGTAACACATCGAATTTTTTGTGTACAACAGACTTGTACATTTTACTATAACTTTGCCAGGTTTCATGTAAATACATAAAGTAAATTTGGAGTTATCATCAACATTCCTTTTCCAATATGGGATCAGTCCAATGGACAGACCCTGTGCACATTCGGTTAAATCCGCCCTTACGTTTCAAGTTATTTTACACATTCATACTTGATTGATAGAACATGAAGAAAAAGAAATACAGTTAGCCTACACTGAATCACTATTATAAATACTGAGTTTTCAAATGAAAAATTATAATTCCCAATATATAATAATGTAGCAAAGAGCTAATTAGTTCTTAAATGCACCAAATATACAAAATTAGTTCTTGAGTTCTGAATGAAGTATTGAAACACAGTTACAGATTTTAAGTTCTAACATAAAAAAACTGTAAAGTATAGTCAAACTTGGCTGAAACACTAAAGTACATACATACAGATGTAGAGGAATGCAAAATACTAACCAGATGTTTGTTCTGGAGATGAAAGGTCCTCCTCATCCCCCACCTCTTCACAATGGTGTTGACGTGGATTAAGGAGACTGTCTGTATCTTCATCTCTTGGTCTTTGTGGAAAAGCCACCCCATCACCTAAGCTACACAAAAACATAATGAAGGAAAATTATTTCTTTATTACCTTTACCTAATAGCATTTTCTAACTTTAAAAAGTTACTACACCCATGATACTCGTATATTAAGAGTTTAGTAGTAAAATGTAATTCAAAGAGACGTGTATCTATATTAAACCTCAAGATATATCCTTTGTTCGTGTCAAAAACTAGACCATTTTTTTTTATTCCTATCCATGATTCCAACATACATTGAGGAAGTATTTCATATAAGAAAATCCCAGAAGACACACAGTCTTTGCTCTCATAGTTAATTGAGCAGACACCATTCAAAGTGGAACACTGGGTTTAAAAATAAAATCCTATTGAGAGTGATCAGTAGTATAAACCCTGTCCCCATGGTTATGCAAGGATAAGAAGATAAAGTATCCGGAAGTAAAACTCCTAATGCAGAGGTTTAAGACACAATACTACTGCTGTCTCAAGCATGGAACCATAACGAAAAACATTAGTAATGAAATATAAACTAAATATAAATATAAAGGTAAAAATTAATGAAACTGAGATGATGGACAAGATCTAATCTCATAAAATACTTTCTACCTGAATATGCAAGGAAATGGTAAGAAGTGTATCTTACAAGACAACGAAATCTATAGCATACAACAAACACTAAAACTCAGGTGATCAAATGCAAAACAGATGAGTTAAGTTACTTCATAATAGGAGCAGGCAAGGCCTGGGTCAGTGACTCCTATCACAGCACAAATAATCTGCTATGCAGTATTTGAAAGGAACTTGTTATTCTCTGCCCTTAATAGGAACAATATGATTCATATCTTCTGAATTGGTAAGCTTAAGAATACACTTAGAGAGAAGTGTAATAGCTTTCTGAAACAAACTTTTTTTTACACAAAACACCCTTTAATTTTACTATAAATATAACTGTCCCACTAAAAAATAAACTGTAATTGATATCAATAAGATGCTTGTTACATTTACAATGAGTAGAGAATAGGGAGACCAGAAGTACATCTTTCAAAATGGAAATTTTATGTCATAAGTGGCTAATTGTTCAGAAATATTTTGAGTTAAATTTTGCAAAATCAAAAAACATCCCAATCCCAAAATAATTACAAGACATCACTACATCAAAAGTCTTAAACTACTCATTCACAACAGATGAATGGAGAGGAGAATCAAAGCCACATAAATAATAGCCTAGTAATCCTGTACAGCAGAGAATGATTAATCATTGATGGCAAACAGAAAGGAAAAAGTCATAAGGGGGTTGACAGCAACTTAAAGATTCACCTCAACTGATCTACATTAGGTGAGATAAAACTTCCACTTTGATAAACAGTCAGAGGCTGTATGAACTGCCATTCCATGTAGTGAGTTGGGAAGAAATTTTGCTTCTTGATTAATAGAAGTAAGAGAAGCCAAGTATGAGGAATTAGCTGGGAAGTGCTTGGATAAAAATTGACGTTCTGGGCTGGAACATAAAAGTTTCCAAAGTGGAAGAAGAATCAGAATTTTCAAATGTAAACCAATGCTTTGCAAGCCAGAAAAGTTCCTTAACCCGATGATCACCGGCTACTAACTTTCTTAGTAGGCAATGCAAGTCTT